TCTGTGCTTTTCTCTACTTAGCCTCTGGGATTTTGCGTCAGCACAGACCACCTTTGTGGCTCTCCCGATGCGAAGGATGTGCAGGCTGGCAGCTCCTGCCCGTTTCCGGATGAGCTGCAATTGAGGAGGTTGTTTTTTTCCCGAGGCTGCCAGCCTGGCCACGTGCCCAAAGGTTCTCTGCTGCTGTCAGCTTGTCCTTTCACCACGGGCCTCCCCAGCCTTGGGCTCTGCCTGCCTGCCTGTTTTTTTTTCTTACTTTTAATAAAAGCCGTGATTTCGGGCAGGGACGGACATGCGACTGACGGTGTTTGCATAGTTCAGCATCCACTGCTCTGCTGTCACCCATAGGCACCTCCTTGAAATCCGCTTTGAAACGAATTGGGCTTTTTCTGTAGCCCCACTGGGGTTTGGACTTTGCCATTAACACTCCTCCCTGTGCTGTACACAGCCATGGATGTGTTTTCAAGCACTGCCACTTAGCTGGGACCCAGCACAAAGCAGACCCCACTTGCTGTCCCCATGTTCCTGGCGAGCCTCACACCCCTACCCTGCACACAGCGCCAGCTTTTGGGAGGCTGGAAACCAAAACAAAACCAAAACCAAACCCACCGATTCCAGGGAGGACTCCTGCATTACTGAGGATTTGCTGCAAGGCCGCAAGTGCTGCAAGCTGCCAACCTGCCCCCAGGTCTCCAGCCAGAGCCAGCTTCACCCCTACCATGTGAGCATCAGCTGAGTGTATGGATGCCGCTCGCACCCAAGGGAGAAGGCAAAGGAAAAGCATTGGGAAAATGTCTTTTATTGCAAAAGGAGCAAATCGAAGTCCCTCTCATTCCTCAAGCCAAGCCGCATGTGTGGGCCAGTGCTAGTGATGCCCAAGTGCCACAAGGCCAGCTGCGGTTTGTACAGTAACAATGGGAAGGGCAGGAAAAACATTGTATGGGGCAAAGGGGGGGCAAGGCAGGCTGCTAAACAAGTTTCACACGTTCCATTTCTGGCAATCCCATAGCCACAAACATCTACTCCATCCCCGTCCTGGCCGTCAGCACCATCTGGAAAGGGGGACCCCAGGGGCAGTGGGGACAGCCAGGGCCCAGATGGACCTTCTGGAGTACCCGAGGGAAGCCAAGAGCAGGCTCCTCTTCTTCAGCGCCTGCAAACAGTCCCGAAGCATGTGTTCTCTGAGAGCAGTGTAGATCAGCAAACCCCCCCGAGTCCATGTCGATAGGTCCTCTTTGGGTGGATGTCAGCAGAAATAGGGGCACAATGGTCTGGTCCCCACCCCTTGGGGTGGACGCAGCATCAGGGTTTGCCTGGACATGGTATTCTCCAGGCCAGCCCTAAGACACCGCTATTCCCTTTGCTGTCAGGAACCAAGGGAGGGCAATCTGTGATCCAGTGGGTCACCTCCATATCCTCATCTCCTGCCAACACTGCAAACGCAAGAGTGGGGTGGCTGCCAGATCCTCCCTTAAAACATACATCAAAGCTGCACACTGCAAGCTTTAAATAAACCAACAATCTCATCTCTGATTTCAGTGAAGTCTAGGGTGAAAAAAAGCCCCAAATCTGCCCCATGTACTTGGTACAGATGGACGTAGTTAAACTTCCTTTTGTTTTCCAAAATTTTATATCAATCAAGGCGATTCATGTTACAGTTCTGTCTTCATAACAATTAAGAATTAGAAAAGTGGTTAAAAACAAACCCACCAGCATTACAGTCCGACATAGGACAGCATGTGCAAACACAAGCATTCAGAAAACCCGACACACGACAGTGCAAGCTTCAGAATTCAATCACACAGGCATCACGTTGACCTGCTGCTCAGCCACAATCAGCTGTTGGCTGGGGTCAAAAAGGCTGAATCCAACTCCCAAACCTGTTTTGGGGCTTTTCTTTGGCTGAGTCCAACTAAACCCTGCTTTGGCCAGTGACCCATGGTGTAAACCAGAGAAATCTCCCTAGCAGCAGTTCCCAAGGTGTCAGGGCACAGAGTGCTTGTCCTAGAGGTCCTCGAGTCCTGCAGTGCTACAGTGTAGTGTTCGAAATAGTGTTTTTGGTAAAAAGTTGGATGGAAAGGGCACCTAGCCTGTGAGATAGCTAGCTTCAGGCAGCACTGCTGAGTCTGTCCCCAACACGCAGCAAGGCTTGGTGCCATGGACCCACAGAGAGCCACCCATATGGACCTGTTCTTCAGCATCATCCCTTATATCCACCCAACAGCCTTACCTTTCTCCTAGCTGGAGCACTAAATAGCCACGGCCACTTATGCCCTAACTACAGCATTTAGAAAAATAAGGATACTCTTACCCACTTATTCATATAGTTAAATAAAAAGAAAATTAAAACTTTGATAATAAAATCCTTTCTTTTGAGGGGAGGGGAAGGAAGACAGTGTGTCTAATGGAGAATTTCCTCTATAACCTTCCTGACAGCACCTAAAACCACTGTAAGGAGATTGAAGGCACTCATCCAGCTGCTTCCAGCCTTTTAATAATAAAGGGATACTAACAGGAATGTTGTGTTCCTCTTCACGTAGCCTCACCCCTTACTAGTGAGGGATGTGGTGAGTGGCACAGTGGAGACAGGGGACAAGAAGACAGCAACTTCTGGTCAAGCTGGGATGCTTCCCATGAAGTCCCGTGCCAAGGATCCCACTTCTTCACTGGCAGCTGAGCCGTGCAGCAACATCTCCTCCACCCAATGACTCCCATGCCAAGGGAGGACAAGTATTTCACAAGCAAAGGTTGAAAGGGAAGAGCTGGACACCCTCAAGCCATGGCCTTTATGCATTTCTGGGGCTGGAGAAGCCCTCTCCACACCCTGTCCTCCTTGCAGGCTGTGGTCAGACTCATCTCCAGGAGCTCCTCACTTTCACCTCCACCCTCCAGTCCAAGGGCCAAAGCCTGCCAGTGCCCTGACGACTGATGCTGGGTCTCCAGGATTAACTCCTTGCCAGAGGGTGTCTGTAACTTGTAACATAACCATTATTTGCACTGGCGGCACGGAACAAAGCCGAGTCCTTCGCAGTTAAAAGCCATAAGAAACAGGCTTTGGGACATGCTTGTGCTCCAGCTGGACAGGGACCTATAAGGCTCCCCTGCATCTCATTTTGAGGCTGAAACACCAAATTATGCAGGGCAGATTCAGACCTGAAGGGATGCTCCAAAGAGTCCATCAATCTGGACTTCCTTACTTCCTTCCTAACTATAAAAGCACTTCAGATTTTTCCCCAAACATCTACATTTCCACTCCTGGACCCCATCACAACCCCCAGCCTTAATGCATCTCCTTTTCTGCCTCCTGCAAAGCCCAGTGGCAGAAGATGGGCTTTGAGAAAGATCCTCGCTGGTACCCAACCCTACCCAAAGCACAGCACCATCTCCCCAGGTGGCAGACTCCTGCCGGACCCATGCTCAGCTGAGACAAAATCCCATGAGAAACCCTGCAGATGCTGAGCTCTCCTTGGCTTGGCGTAGCCTGGGCAGGGTGCCCCAAACCTTCCCAGCCAATGCAGTTCAATTCTGCAGAGGCTCATTAAAAATTCAGGGGCTGAAACACGCTCCCAAGCAGGGCACAGCCGGGAATGTCCTGCCCTGGGGAGGGAAGCTGCCAGACTTCAATCCTGTTTGCTCTGTCTCGGAGCGGAGGTTGCCCACAGCTCTCTGTAAATGCATCTTCCCATCCAAAACCAAATGGGAAAGCTGGGAGAGAGGCGTCTCTGCAGCTCCATCCCAGCTGCCGGGGACTTGGGGTGCAGGACCACGTCACCCCGTGTCCCCTCCAGAAGCCTCTGACAGCAACCCCCCTCCAGCACCACAAACGCTGCCTGAGGAAGGCCCCTAATTCTCCAGGGGAGAGAGGAGGGCTGCTTCAGAAAAACCCTTAACAAAATCATCACCTCTAACTGCGACCTGAGACAGAGATGGGTATTAGGTTAATTTCATGGTAGATGAGAACATTTCTGCTGGCACAGACCCATCAGTGCAAAAGCCGGTGTTTTCCACCCACCGGCAAGCCGGCTAGCAGCAAACATCACCATCAATCCAAGACACGTGCCGCTCGCGGGAACCGGCTGTTCCCGGGAAAGTGCTGCACGTACTTCTTGAGAACGGCTTTGCTCCAGGCAGTCCTTCTGCCAGCAACAAACCTGAAAGTTCATCTGTCCTTAAAAATCAAAAGGGATGATATCAGCAGGATAATCATGCAATGAAGTGGGGCCATAGATGCTTTAAAAAGACTAATGGGGCATGCTGGTGTGGACGGCACTGCTCTAGGAAATGTTGACACCCAAGGCAAAACACAGGCATGTGCGTTGCAGAGGGTGTTAAATGGGTGAGGAGGTGGGATGCAGCTGCCCCAGCAAGTGATACACAGCCCATACAGTTAAAATACCTGGACATCACTCGAGTAGCCTGGCCCGCCTGGTACCCGGGAAAGCAGAAGCATGGAGCAACTGTTAGTCCAGTGCCACACTAGACCAAAGGGGGAAAAAAACGTTTGTGTATATATACGTATCTCTGGTTTGTTTTCTGCTCTTAAAAAAGTCCTTTTAAATATATTTGCCACATTATAAAACTTAAGGCAGGCTGTGCTGTAGCAACCCTCCCACGGTACACACCCCCATGCCCAGCACTGCGTACTCCCACGAGACCAGAAACACTCCCACTGGCACTAACAAACCTCCACCTTTTGAAATCCTTGGGAACTGAAAAGGTATTGAGTTTACTACGTGTCTGCAGACAGACTGACAAGTCCTTCATGACCTATACAGAGAAATTTCTGCCTACCATAACCCAACTGGAGTCTCCCACCTGCCCCAAATAAAAATAAAACATAACCCACCCTCCAAATAAAAAAAAAATTACCCCAAGGACAGTGAAGTCTATTTAATTCCTGTCCTTATCCCCAGTCGGAAATGAAATGTGCAATTAGAATTATTATCTGTTACAAAGTCCTAGGTAAGGCATGGTTGTCCCAAAGCTGATGGAGGAGCCTGTTAGGAAACCCAGAGGAAATAGGCGACTTCGTCCAGGTCAACAGGGTAGTCCGTGAGCAGCACCGGGGTCTTCTCAAACAGCTCCCCCTTGTAGCTGCGCCACTTGCCCGCTGGCAGGTAGACATCGCGCTCCTGCTTGCCCATCTCCAGGACGGGGGGCCCCCCGGGGGGGGGGCCCCAGGGGGAACGGGGGGGGGGGCGTG